AAGCGGGCAGTTATCGGAGCATAGAGAGCAAACGATGAGAACATCTTCGAAACCTAGTTTCTGGTATGCCACACAGGCTCTTTGATGTTGCTCCTGAACAAGGAGGGGCTATAGATTATTAATTATCGTACATATGCCATTAACATTAATAAATCATTTACTTTCTCAGGGTGACCTTATAATTATGAAACTGTGCAAAAGCCGACACTATCTTCAAAAAATTCGTAAAAAATTTGAGGTGAAGGATATTGCGACCAAAATTCGAGTACGGAGGTACATTGTAACGAGGAATCTTCCAGTGTTTGCCAAAAAATTCCATTTCGGCTGCTTTCTCCAGAATCGCAAAAATCTGGAGTGACCTTATAATTATGAAACGCACTGTATAAAGCAATGAGCACTCCTCATCGCTGTATTCTTTTACGAGGTCAAAGATTGGCTCTACGCAGGTGTCGGAGCTCAGTAACGAGGTTCAGTCGGAACCCACTCTTCGCCAAAACGTTCAGCCTGTAATGCCCGAAACCATCGTACCGAAACCCCTCTGCCCATCCAGCTTCTAGCGTGCGCCGATGAACAAAAATAACCGGAACGCAAATAAATAACTTGCTGATCGCTAACTGCGCTGACCGTACTCCAACCAGGTTCTTTTTATCGACAGATTGGTGAATGTGCATACAGCCATTCTTCTTTCTGTGCATAATCTGTTCTCAAACATGACGAGAGGACCAGCCACAAGTAAACGGTTGCTAAGATTTTGGCAACCGGAAGGAATTGCTACGACCATCTGCGCCGTTGTTACACGACGGAGCGCTTTCAGGGTCCTACGGCGTGCGTTGAATAGGCAGACACACGACAGTGCTGGACGTCGTCTGTTGACAACGCTGGACGCTCACCGAATATCGGACAATGCCCGTAAGCCTTCGCCGTTTAGAGAATCGTTCACCGCGTGAAAAGTAACATGCTCCAGCGCAAAACCCGCCAGCAGCGCAGACGTTGTCAACCGCTAAGCATCCAGCGTTATCAACAGACAATGTCCAGCACTGTCAACATTTGCCTGGCAACGCTGCAATTTCTACACACGTGGTTGAACTATGAAAGCGCTCCGTCGTGTGACAGCGGGCGCAGTAATTTCTTAAACTCTGTGACAGCGCCTGCTGGGGCAAGGCTTAGCTTATTTAAGAGAACTTTTTCAACTCCTTGGATCTGATGCGTTTTATTTGTGAGTCCACCTTTTTGCTTCAGTGAAATATTCAATACGTTGAGCTCCAAAGCGACTGCTAAGCGCTTCTCAGGCGGAGTAAATAAAGCAAACGGGGTCGGTCGATCCTGCAGAATGACAGTGAAAAAAGTTTGACTATCGCTACGATACCCAAGTTACGCCAGAAGATGAGGAAACTCCTAAAGAGATGAAGAAGGTTTCCTGATCCCTACATGATCTAATAAATATGGAAAAATGGAGAGATTGCATACGAAGCAGCTATGCAACTTATTGCCCACTGGTCCAATTCAGAAGCCCATCGAAGCAACCAAGCGAATCATTCAGATGGCCGCGCCTCTTGCCGCGTGCAACCCGAACGAGTCAATGCACCCATACCCAAGCACGACACTCGTGGGATCGTGTGGTTACACCTTGAAACAAGTGATTTCGATTAAGCTTTCGGTGAAAACCAATTAATCCTCTTACTTACAGGTCATGAAGACGCAGATGAGATGGGAGTTGAAACTGCGATCACCTGTAGAGTTAGATGAGGTCAGTTTGGAATAAAAAAAAGTTCGATGATTTGTATTCCGAAATCTGGATGTTTGGTTTTCAGCCCTGGTATTGGTGACGGTTTATGGTAATCTCTACTCTGCCGCTGATGATGTCCATACCACTGCCGTTCTAACTGGGAAGGACTAGTTCAAGGTAGCTCCACGTTGTAAGCCGGAATTAGTTTCCAGAATTTTCGCTTTTCTATCATTAGCAGTGTCTTTACACAGTGGGTAATGTTTATGGAGTCTTAAATATCGGTGGCCAATAGGGAGTTTTGATTTTGGTCGGGCCATGTCCCTATAAGACAATTAATAGCACTTTTCCAGGAGCTCGAATATGAACGTCGCTGCCTGATACTCTAGCAACTTCAATCACGCAAATATGGTTTTCGAACATTTGCCATCCTTTCAGCACCTGATCAACCGTGCAAACTTTTTGGTGTGCCACCTGACTAAATGTAAGACGATTTCTGATGTGTTGTTGAAATTGTTCAGCCGATTCCATCCACTCGTCCACTTATACACCTCATACAGGCGGATCTGCCTGTTTCTCTTGTAATCTTACTTATACCTTTGCTTTTCACTGTGCTTATTATTTTTCCTAGTATTATAACTATTGAATCCTTGCGATCCTTGTTATATCACTTTTTTCACAGAGATTCTATCATTGTTGAACCGTGTTTACACTTCAATACTCCACACTCCTTTAGGTTATTCATGAAAGATAAGTTGAAGATAAGTCCTGATAAACGTTTGGATCGGAATCTGTTGGGTGCTGTACTGTGGAAGAAGTCGCGCACACATTCCGTTATTTACAATGCACCAAATGATAAAGTTGATTTTCAATTAGATCCATTGTTTCGAGTTGGTGCATGGAGCTATACTGGCCCAACTATTTGCTTTTTCAAAGTAGAACCTTGGGTACTATGTAGGAAATTGTGACGGTGAAAGCTTTAAGCATTTTGTAACATATGGCTCCTATTTCTTGATTTTTCATTGCAGTGAACAAGCCACGGTCGCTACCGCTGACTTTAAAGCTGGGCTGGATTCTTCCATGTTTCGTCTACATTTATTTCCTTCACTCTTATTTCCGGTGGAACTTTTTCCTCGGAATTAGGCTCGATTTTGACTGAAGTTCATGCAAACCTGAGGTTTCACAGCTAAACTCGCAATAAAATTACTTTACGGAAAAGCCTTAGGCGCTTGGAATGTTAGCAAACAAGTATTCCCAACAAAACTTTACGCTTTCTCCATTATAGTCTGCGTAAATGCCCGGA